GCCTTTTTGCTTCATGGAATGAGCGGTTTCTCCAATCGAAGGCTTGCACTCACGTGACGTCACCTGTCAGTGCGTTGGCCTTGTTTCTGGGCGCGTACCTTCGACAGCCTAGATTTTGCACCATAGAATTTGTTGATCTCGGCAAGAACAAGAGAAATGACCAGAAGCGGAATGGAATGACGCCACCTACAAGCCAGGTAATAATCTATCCGTTTTCGGTGAGCCGATACAAATTCGCTGTGACAACTAGGTTGCTTTATAAAAACATTTCTTGTATTTCGAGAGTTTGTTATCCACCAGCGCCGAAACAAGCGCACATCTTAGCACTGCCGCTATAACGTGGCGCCGATGCTTGGCGGCATTGCAAAATAATTATCCTTTCTCGAGGTACGCGTGAAAAATAACATAATTGTAAGAGATCTTTGGAGATAAGAACGATTGATAAGTTGACTGCACACACAGTACAAAATACGCTAAAGTTGGCGAGGAATGTTTTTAGTACGGCGGTGATCATCGCGATCTTCGACCCTTTCGAAGCTCAGAGGATTTGTAAGGACCGAAATGACCAACATAGACTAATCAGCCAATCAATTTGCGAGGTTCTGCTCGTCTGTTTGTTAGAATTTTTTTCAACAGGCAAGAAACGCAATGGCGCTCCCAGGATCTAGTGACTTCACCTGAAATTAGAAAAAAATTGACGTCACGTGACGTGAACACCAATTGAGTTTCCCCGTTGAATTTATCGAGAAAATTTTCGCTAGATTTCTTTCTAAATTTAGTGGGAAATTTTTTTCTAAATTTCCCACCAAATTCAGCGGGAACATTTCCACATTAAATTTAGCCGAGAAATTTTCACATATGGCGGGAAATTTCACGAAAATTTCCCGCTAAATAGGACTAGTGGAGCAGGAGAGGAGGAGGGCCATACCCTCCTCCTCCTCAAGAGCTGCGCTCTAATTCGGCATTCGAGAGAATTGTAAAGGTTCCTTGTGACGGTTGGTTGTTTCGCCCGCAGCGGAAGCACGTGACCCTGATGCGGCGCGTGGCCCAACAAGCTGTCTCCGAGCTGGACCCTCGGGACCCGCGTCCGGCCCCAAGCCCCCCCTGGTGGTCCACGGTGTTCTCGAGCCGCTACAAGACCGAGCTCTGCCACCACCTGGAGGAAGAGGGCCGCTGCAGCTTCGGTGCCGGCTGCGTGTACGCACACTCCCGCAGCGAGCTCCGCCCTATCCAGAGGCACCCCAAGCACCGGTCCCAGCTCTGCAAGGACTACCATGACGACGTGAGTCCTGCCATGGCCTCTCCGCCCCGTCTGCTTTGCTTCCAGAGACTTCGTTAAATGAATGGACCGATCTCACCAAACGTTCCACGCATACGTGATGCCGCCATAACTGTAGTTCGTAGGAGGCAGACGCCAGTTCACATGCAAGGCAGCTCATGCCGTCTCGTGCTGTGCTCGCCCAGATCTCCAGCAGGGTTGTCGCGCGTGCAGAAAGACTACAGCTCCCACGATGCATGTCGGCAGCGGTGGCGTACTCAAACTAGCTGGTGAGATCGGTCTATTCCTTCCGTGCGAACCGTTGCCGCCACGATAGAACCGAACCTCAATTATGTCATCTCTGTGTATTTTGAGCCCATGAAGGCATCCTCTTGATGAAAAGGCAGCGCAGCAGAGACCGGGGATTCCCGCCATGTTTATATTTGGCTGCATATTCTCTTCATCAGAGGCGTCAGTACTAATCGGGAGATGGGAGGGAGCGACATTTTCTTCTCCCATCATGGTATTCTTAACATAAAATATTTGCAATGTCTAAGGGCAATCCCTTTCCCTTTCCCGGTTCCGACGCCACTGCTCTTCGTGGAAGGGCGGCTTCGGTGTCGCCGAAAAGAAACCTGGGATTGATCGGCGCGTAGCTATGTCGATCGAGCGAATGACGGTTAGTTTACTAAAGTCGAGGAAGCATTTCCTTCCCCGACGGTTATTCGAGTCACTGTACGGGTCAGGCGCGAGGCCAAAGTAAGGCTGCCTTCCGCGACTTTTCGCGCACGTTGGATGGTATCGCGGTGATCGGTAGACCCCTTTCCATCCGTTTTGCAGACTTAAAAATCTGGCGCGAAATTCACGTCCAGCAAAGATTTGACATCCGCCTGTCGGGCAGCTGGAACCCAGGCATTCATTAGCGCGCGACGAAGGGCGTGCGCACGCAACGAGAGCAGCAATGCCTTTTGCGGGTTCACCTTCGAAGCATTCCGTAGGATCTCGTGATGAGTATTTCGAAACACTTCCCCGTTGCCAAAAAAGAGTCTGCTGAAACAATTTACACAGACTTTTATACGTGCTGCCCTTACTAAATGTTCTGGGTGCAGGTTTTCTAAACAAAACGCGAAGAGAGAATAACGTGTTCGCAGAAAAAACAAACGCAGGCAACAAGTGTGCTTTACGTCATCGTCCAAAATTTCGGAACCACCCCTCGTGGTTGCGAAATTTTGGACGATAAAGGAACCTGCGCACTCGGCTCGGTCGTACCGCACCGATCACCTGACTTTCCATAACATTCCCTTTTCACGCGCAACTGTTTGTGAATGATACAAAATGTACAAAGATGGCGTAACACTCCAGTGAGTGCCGTGGCGTGGCTCTCCGGGTCCTGCGGGAGATTGGCCTTCGAACTCGGCAGCCCGTTCAGGTCGGCGAAGAGGGCTGTAGCTACACTTAGATGTTTCACGGAGACACCGAGACTCTTGCTAGCGAAAAGGGGTCTCCGTCAAGAAGTACTCATTCGCGTCGCACATTACCGTGTTGACGATGTATAGTGCCTCACGTCAACATACAACCGGCAGAAACCGGGACGTATATTGGTGCTTCGTCCGGTCCCAGGGTAAATTCATTGGTGTCAAAGTAACGTACACTTTATAGGTATTTCCGGTGTTTTTTTTTTTGTTTTTGTATGCCGCGTCCTCGTTCCCGAACTACAAGTGGATTTCCGAAAGCCACAGAAAGGACTTCCGCAATGGCCGCGAAGAACAGGCAACACCTCTTCGTTTACGCCCGCCAGTCCCCGAGCTCGCGCCCAGAGCCATCCTCCAATCGCCTGCGCGGAAGATCAGAAGGCTTTTTTTCCGTATAGGGAGTATTCACTGGCGGCCATTAGCGACGTGCGCGACCGAAAGTGTCGCTGCGGTCGGCCTTCCACGATTGGCCCAAAAGCTGACTATGACGTCGGAAAGGGTATACCATCGACGGAAATAAGAGGAATGAAAGAACTTTAATTTAGACGGTGCTGGCAGTGTTGCTTTGAGAGCGCAATGATTTCAGGCTTCCACCATGCTATTTACAAACACCATCGAACTTGTAGTTCGCAAGGTAATGACGTCACAAGGGGGAACCATAGGAGGGCGCCACCGAAACATCTCGCCGTTCTGACGGCGTGCTTCCACAGTTCTTTCGACACGTGCATTCCGCACCACCAACATTGCCGGTCTTAGCGGCCTATTAACGTGAGCTCGTTCCGACTCCGAGCATGCGCTCTAAACATCGCCCTCAAATATGGCGTCCAGTGAATGCCCCCTATTGGTGGTGTTCACCGGACGCCATATTTCAGGTGGCTGCATGCTCGGGATGAGTTCTTACTAATGGTCTCCCAAGGAAGGCAATCTTGATGGTGTGCAATGTGCGTGTTGCAAGTGTCGTAGAAGCTTGCCGCCAACACGTGCTCAGCAACAGCGAGCTCAACTATGGATGGCCGTGAATACCATCTATTCGCGTCTCCAGCTCGTTGCTCGCCCTCCCTGGCGGAAACCAGAAGCCGGTTCTCCTGCTCAGCGGATAAGGCAAAACTGCTCGCGATCATGGCTCGCAAATTGTCGCTTCCGAATGTGAACAACTCTTCACAGTCCCAATGTAGTGCTGGAGCCAGTACGGGATTGTACCTTAGTAGAGAGTGTTACTATTGCGTATAAACGCAAGCGTTGTGCGTTTGCTTTGAGTTGCGTGATCCACGCATGCGCGTCGTCGCCGTGCTCCAATCTAAGACAGCAATTTTGGGCTCCACTCACGCGCAGTGAGGAACACCCAAACGCGGCGCTTGCGTTCGCTCGTATACTCAATACTAGAACTCCTTATACGGTGTCACCGGTTTCCAACTCCAGCGAAACATGAGGCAGTGAGCAGACGTGCAAGCTTGTAGGCGTTCCTTCTAACTAGAAAGGCTGAAAGTGGCGAAATGACGGCGCGTAAAAAATTAAGAAACTTAATGTACTGAGAAAATTGGTCATAAAAAAAAAAAATCGCTTCTTTTGTTCTTTTGGCTCATTTGGTCCGTTTTCATCGGAAGTTTGTTTTCCTTGGAAGTTTTGCCGATGGCCAAAAGCCGCGACTTTGACAGTACCATATGCCTTACCCACAATGAATGCAATTTTATATGGATCTGTAAGATAAGCTAATATGTTTTCATTGCTTTTATACTAATTTTATTTTAGCACTTGATGATTAAAAATGCTGCAGTTGGCACCAGTCATAATTTGCACACTTTTGATTGCTATAGACGCTTTACAGCAGCTGTGCATGGGCGCCGCCATAACTGAGCTTCAGTTTTTGTTCCCTCTTATTCCGTTCGCCTCACTTCATCATTACCACAGCAGGACAGGTTATTGCCATTTTAGATGCTACTGTGTTCTTGTGCCCAGCATAGGCCCTTGTGAATACCCGTCAACGCCCGCTTCAGTGGCTCGGCATCTCGGTAAGACAAGAGAAGGGCGGCTATGGCGGCTCAATCTAGCGCGTGTGTAAAGCGTCTATACTTGTTCGCGAGTTTGAAATTGGATCGTAAGCAACAAATTATCTTAGAGCCTGAATAACTACGTATTAAAATTATCTTAACTACATTATTATTATTATTAATACCAATTTCGGCAGTGGATCCCCCAATAAACGCCACGATCGCAAAAATACGCCTCTTAACCATAAGAATATTTCCAGAAATGTAGAGAGGAAGAAGAGGACGCCGAAGCGAACGGACTAGTTCCTATCGGCTCCGTCATTTATGGTTAATTTCGCAGTATTAATTTGCGCGATTCAAGGTCTTGTGTATCCCAGTGAGTTTGTGAAGTCGAGAGACGCCAACGGATAACAAAGTTCCCAAAGGTACGCCTTTTTTGCCGAAATAACAGACATTTTCCACCACCGTCGTGCGCGGGGCCGCTAGGCCTAGGTGTGCTCCACGAGCGATAGGCCTAGTCGCTGTCGCTCCTGCCGCGGCTCGCCGTTTCGGCGGCGGCCACTAAGCCCCGAGATGGAGGGGACGTCCGCTCGGGCAACGATCTTCGACTCCCAAATGTGCGTGCAAGTTCAAGGCGAAGATCTTTCACCAGAGGAATTCCACAGCGGCACTGGATGGACGCAAGTGGGGGAACGCATGTCCAGACTACGTCAACGAGACCTTGTCGCGAAGCTCGCCGGCACCGACAACCAAGTAAGCAAGAATGCGAAGGGTAACAAGAACGTTAGAGCCTCGGCCATCAAGGCAGCGAGAATGCCAGCCATGCCGCTGGAGGAAAACAAGATCGTCATCAGACCCCGTGGGGGATTGGACATTACCAAGATTGGCACCACGACCGTCGCCACGGCCATTCTCGCCGCGGCCAAGATTACGACTGAAGAGAACGCATCAGACACCATTTGCCCAAACGCGCTACAAAACATCATGGTAGTCAGCACGCCTAAGGAGGAAAACGCCGTCCGCTACGCGAGAATTCAAACGATATCCATTCAAGACAAGACCTTCGAAGTCAGCGCGTACCGCACGGCGCCGCACGACACCGTGAAGGGCATCATCCGCGGCATCCCTGTCAACGCGAGTGCCGAAGAACTCGACAGCAACATTGTAAACGACAGAAACCCACTCGCCGTAGGAGCCAAAAGAATCGGCAACACGACCACGATCATTGTAGCCTTCGGAGGACCCAAGGTACCGAACTTTGTCCGATACGGTGTCACGCTCATACCGTGCAACCTGTATAGAAAGCAAATAGACGTCTGCCACCAGTGTGGCCGGGTCGGGCATCGCAAGGACGTGTGCCCAACTCCAACCAACCGCATCTGCAGGGGCTGCGGCCAAACAAACCCAAAGGAAGACCACAAATGTACGCCCAAATGCAAACTTTGCGGAGGCGCTCACTTGACCGCCGATAGAGAATGTAAAGCCAAATACAAGGTTCCCTACGTCGTCCGCAAGCGGCAGTGGGAGCGCCGAAAGCAAAACGTCAGCGACTGGCTGCCGTCGGAGAGCAACTTCCCGCTACTCGACGAGCCAGCTGCCCGCAAGTCAAGGACGCCATCGAGAAACCGCGCGCCGTCGAGAAATAGCAGCAGCAGGAGCCAGAGCAGAGACGCGCGACAAACAAAAAGCCAAAGATCAAAGTCGCGCGAGAGAGTCAGTTGGGCCGACGCCGCACGAGGTATCAAGAAGACCAATTCGAACGACAATGCCAAGAAAGAAGACAAAGCTTCAACCAAGGAACGAGAAATCAACGAGGCCCTGAAACAGGAGAACGCGTCCCTGCGAGCCACCATCAACAACCTCACCAAGGAAATAGCGGAGATTCGCAACGTCTTATGCACCATCGAACAGCCAAGATCCTGCCCGAGCGACAACAACAAGGTCGAAGAAGCTACGACAGACGGAGATAAAGCACCGGCACCGAAGAAAAGGGCCTTCGAATTGCGTAAGACCACGAAAAACGTAAGCAGCTGCAGCTCCGGCAGCAGCAGCTCCGGCAGCAGCAACAACAATGTCGAGGCGAAACTCAGCAGCCTCGAGGATATGATCAAATCGATGAAGGAAGCCATCCAAGCCTTCCAAACGGAGAACGTCAACAGACTCAATAACCTGGAAAGGAGCTTGCAACTAACCCTAAGCAACCCAACGTTCGGGCCCCTACAGCAGCAAGTCAACCAAGCGCAGCAACCCGGAGAACTTCGAATAGGACCATCATGGCCTCCAGCTCCACAGGCATAACGATGTGGCAGTGGAACTGCCGCGGCTTAGTCAAGAAAAGGGCAGTTGTCCAGCAACACATTGAGCACGCTGCGCGCAAGCCCGACGTGCTCCTACTCCAAGAAACGCTAACGGAAAAGCCGTCCCTCCCCGGCTACAGGGTGCACGCGGGCCCGTCCGACGGCAGAGGTCTGTGCACCCTGGTCAGGAAGGGTCTCACCTTCGTCGAACATCGACTAAGCAACGTCAGGATCGAACACACGCTCACCGAACTCATACCGACCAAGCAAAGAAAAAACAGCATCTTCATTTTGAATATCTACAGTAACCCATCGCAGAGACTGCAGAGGTTCAAAGCCATTCTTCACAAGGCAAGCACGACGGCCGGCCAGAGCACGCTGGTCGCGTGCGGCGACTTTAATGCTATGGATCCGGCGTGGGGCTACGTCAAGAGTAATGCGAAAGGCAGAAACCTATCCCACGATGCGGCGGAGCTCGACTACACACTCATAACCGACCCGGCTCTCCCAACGAGAATGGGCAACTCCGTGTCCCGAGATACCACCCCTGACCTCACGTTCGTCAAGAACAATGAACCGATCACGATCACGTGGAGGAACACGGGGATGGACCTCGGCAGCGACCACATGATAGTGGAAATCGTCATACCGGAGCAGAGCAGTGCTAATGTCAGGAAACATACGTGGATCGATTGGACCGCATTCAGAGATAACAGAAATCAGGAGGCGGAAGAAGAGACCGAAATTGATGACATCGAAACATGGACCAACAAGATCATTCAGGACGTTCAAAACTCAACCAAGAACATAGAAACAGACCTCGAAACGAACACAATGGACAGCCGACTGGCACACCTCATCGAGGCCAAGCAGTCCATACTCAACAGATGGAAAAAGCTACGCCTCAATCGTAGGCTACGGAAAAAAGTCGCAGAACTTAACAGGACAATCGAGGAATACTGTCGCACGCTATGCGCCCAACAATGGGACGAGATATGCAACGCCGCCGACGGACAGATGCATAACGGGAAAACGTGGAACTTGCTTAGGCATCTGCTCGACAAAACTAAGACTAAGTCACACCAAAGAGACCGACTGGCGAAACTCATCCATCGAGAGGTCACTAAACACGGAGCTGAGCATGTGACGAAGCGCATCAGCGACAGATACCTGCCGACTACTCCAACGGAGTGCCACGGGCCGTACGGGGGGCTACGCAACGAGCGTCTTGACAGAGACATAGACGTAGAGGAGGTTCGCACGGCGCTGCAAGACCTCAACAGCAAGTCGGCGGCCGGACCGGACCGCATCACCAACAAAGCACTCAAGAACCTCGACGACAAATCCATCGAAAGTCTCACGAGCTACTACAACAAATGCTGGAAAACGGGAACGCTGCCGACGCAGTGGAAGAAGGCCAAGACTATCCTGATCCCCAAGCCGGGCAAGCCACCAGACACCGACAACCTCCGACCCATATCGCTCACGTCTTGCATGGGCAAGGTGCTGGAGCACGTCCTGCTCAAGAGGTGGCAGGAATACCTCGAGAAAGAGGACCTCTACCCGGAAACGATCATCGGCTTCAGGCAGCACCTCAGTACCCAAGACGCAATGATTCAACTCAAGCACCAGATCATCGACGGCAACACCAGCGACAACAAAGCGATATTGGGACTCGATCTGCAGAGCGCCTTCGACAAGGTGAAGCACTCGGCGATCCTATGCCAAGTCTCGAAACTCAACATGGGAGAGAGATCATACAAATACATCAAAGATTTTCTCACGGACAGAACTGCCGAGCTCAGAGCGGGGGATCTCCAAGCGCAAGAGAAGAAGCTGGGAAGCACAGGCACACCTCAAGGATCAGTCATCTCGCCGATGCTTTTCAACCTGGTGATGATAGGAGTGGCCGAAAGGCTCGGAAACATCAAGGAAGTTCGACACACGATATACGCGGACGACATAACGCTGTGGGTGGAAGGGGGCAGCGATGCCCACATCGAATCCACTCTACAGGCGGCTGTCGACGCGATCGAAGACCACCTTGACGGAACGGGGCTCAGGTGCTCGCCGAGCAAGTCGGAGCTCCTTGTATACCCGCCCGTCAAGCACCGCAAACCCAAGAGCAGCCCGAGAAACTACGAGGCAATCAAAGTGAAGAGCAGAGAAGGAAACGAGATCCCAAGAGTCACCAAGATCAGAATCTTAGGAATGACGATCGAGACGCACGGCAGAAACGGTGACACTGTCACCCGGCTCATAGCGAAAGCGGCAAACGCCACGAGACTACTCAAGCGAGTCACGACCAAGAAAAGTGGAATGAGGGAAGAGAGCCTGATCAGACTCATCCACTCGTTTGTCATATGCCACGTAGCGTACGTGGCGGCCTACCACAAGTGGAAGAAGAGCGAGAGAAACAAGATAAATATACTCATCCGTAGGGCCTTCAAGACGGCAATGGGACTGTTCGAAACAACGAGCACCAACCGCCTCCTGCAGCTGGGGGTGCACAATACGCTAGAGGAGATAGCGGAAGCCCAACGCAACGCTCAACTCGAAAGACTATCTACGACCAAGGCCGGCCGGAAAATCCTGGACAACCTGGGAGTTGGCTACCAAGGCAGGGAGCGGACGCAGCTCCCCATCCCCGATGAGATCAGGAACAACATCAGAGTGTACTCTATACCGAGGAACATGCACCCGGAGTATAACAAAGGGAGGAGAGCGGCGAGAGCCAGGGCCCTGATAGATCAGCACGCGGCCGACGGACACGCACGCTACGTGGACGCGGCTGAATACGCCAAGCTACACGGTTTCACGACAGTTGTCGTCGACGCGACCGGCACCGTTCGCACGACCGCCAGCACGAGATGCACCAAGGCAGAACAAGCGGAGGAGGTAGCCATCGCCCTGGCCATCGCCGACCGCGACTGCCACACGGTGCTGTGTGACTCGAGGCAGGCGGTGAGGAATTATGCCAAAAGCATGATATCGAAGGAAGCGGTGCGCATACTGCAGTCAACCAAGAACGACGGCGGCAGCAAACAAGTGAGAATCAAATGGTTCCCCGCGCACGCGGGCGTCGGATCGAAACGCCAACCACAACGAGACAGCACATGCCGAGGCGCTAACGGACCGCGCCTCGACCGACTGGCCGCTGTGGTTCAGCACCAAGGACCGAATGACCGACTACAACGAGATAACCAAGGCTTTCCGCCTAGCTCGCAGAACTCTCCCACCACCTTGCTCGGGGCTCAGTCGAGAACAAGCCGTTTTATTTAGACAGCTGCAGACGGGCTCACTCCCCGTTGCTGATGCATAGAATGGATCCCGCGGCGACAGACAAGTGCAGAGTCTGCCGAAGGGCCGGCTTCGCACATATGCTGTGGGATTGTATCAAGTACCCGGAAGAATCAAAGTCTGGGAGCATCCCGCTGCGACTTGAAGCAGCCGCAGGGAGCGATAATCAAGAACAACAACTCTGGGCCGTCCAGCAGGTCATCGGGGCGCTGGCCCGGCAGGGACCCAGCGCCCAGAGGACGATGTAGGCCCCGTCCGGAGCGCGCGCGCAAGCGCGCGTTTTACTGCAGGCTAAAATAAAGTTTACCCACTCCACTCCAGAAATGTATAATTTTGTTTTCGTTTTAGCATATGAAAAACTCCGATATCGTTATCAAGATAGGCGGTCAAACACTGGATGTAATGTGAAGACTTATGCGTCAGGCGTTGCTTTACAAAACACACAAGCACACTCCTGCTGTTGAACTCGGATTCTGTCTTTTTTTTTTTTTTTTGTAGTGAGAACGGCGTTTCTTTGTGCATACGTTTTGTAAATATATATTCTACACTCATCACCCGTGGAAATATTTTGTAAAATTTGAATTGATTTTGTTACTCTCGTGCTGGAAATAATGTTAAATCACTGAGTCGGGGAAGATCGGGAAATGGAGTGCCAGTTCATGAGCAATAGTTAAAGGGAATCCCCGGAAGAATGCCCGACACGTATGTCACACGATCGGTGATATTTTACCCAATTTACAGGAAAAGCTCGTGCGATGATTCCGCAGCACGCTTCGGGTTCGGCACTTCGAAATAGAAGCACACGTCGGAATCGTTCCGAAGAGGAGTCTTGCCACGTGAATACTGCGCTAAAGATGTTTCCTTCTCCGTCTCGTGACCTGCAAACAATTAAAACCATTTTTTTTTGTGTGTTTTAATTTTTGATAGAAACAGGGTAGCTGGACCAGCTTGTTCGTAACAGCGTACATTTTTTTAGAGAGTTTAAAATTACTTTTTTGTCGCTCCGATTGGCTTTGGAAAGAAAATGGCGGCGCGCACACACCGGCTCACGTTCTGACGCAGCGTCAAGACGGCGGTGCTGGCTGCGCAACGGCCCATGCGCGGAGGCTTGGATCCTCGATAAACAAACTCGCGCATGCCCCCTGCCCGCAACGACAAACGCGCTTATTGTAAAGAAAGTATCTGCAGCATCGCCTGAGCGTAAAATGCCGAGTCGCTGAACGCCTCTTACTGCTCGTGCCAGATGCCCTGTAGATGGGCCAAGTATGTCCGTTATTTTGATTGCGGTATGAAAGAAGCCTCGCGGCATCCAGGGAGCTTAATCGAGTCCCCCTCCAACAGGGCTTCTGCAGCTTCGGTGCCCGCTGCAGCTTCATCCACGCCCAGCGCGACCTGGCGGCGCTGCTCGAAGAGATCGGTCGGAGCTCAGCCCACGTGCACCCGATGCCCGAGAACCCGGGCTCCCGCTGCCAGAGCCTCTCCGGGTCGTCCGCGCCGTCTGGATGCTCGTCGCCCGCGATGGCCGTCCCCGCCAAACCGGCCAACTCTAGGAGACAGCGAGGCCGACCGGCTGCCAAGATCCGCGAGCCGCGTCGCAGCGTGGCGCCCTACCACGACGACCGGCCCGTTGCTCGGACCCCGACGCTCCTGGACCGGCCGCTGGAGCCCGGGTTTCGAAAGCGCTGGGGCGTCCACTGGCAGGAACTGCCTCGAAGGAG